AAAAAAAAAAAAAAAAAAGACAGATAAGCCGGGTGCTGGCTGGTTGAGGATTAGTGGGGATGGTCTAACCCAGGCACAACAGCACTTCTGAGCAAATCTGTCACCCAGGGAAAGAACCTCATTCACAAAATACCCTGCGCCATGTATGGCAATTCCAGTGCTCAAGGATAGCACAGTGCCGGTGGACTCACTGGTGACACCTTGAAGTCACGAGGTCCAGGCTGTCTGCCAGCTGCTCTATAATTTAACAGTGTGATACCCCTGCACAAGGGTGGTGGTGGTGGGGGGGTGGTTTCCAGGCTCCCTGCCCCAGCAGGAAGGGTGGGCTGAGCAGGGAGGAGAAGCTACAAAGACCAAGAGAAGGACTTGAGGGAAAGGAGGAGGGAAATAAACGTTGTTCTAAAATGAACAATAATGTGAGTAGATATATTAATTAATTAAGAAAAAAAGGACTTGAGGGAAAAAGAAAGGAGGAGAAAAGACTAAAGAATATAGGAGGAGGCAGATGGGTCAGAAAGTCATGAAGCAGCCAGGCTTGCTTCTCGGCCTTGGACTTGTCCAACATGGAAGGAGACACTTGGAAGAGACAGAGATGTGGGTGAGACACCCACATCTGATAATGGCAGTCTTTAACTTGGCTAGTATTTTGACTTTGCTCTCATCCTTCCAGACTTCTGGCCCTTTCTGCCCTTTCCTGTGGATGCCTTAGACCTGTGGCAGGCTTTTGGGTCCCAGTGGTCCTGCTTTGGGCTAGCCTGTTTGGCCGAAATATTAATTACTGAAGAGGAGGTGGGTAACTGTGTGTGTTTCGTGGGGTAACTACTTTAACTATATTCTTTCTCTTCACTGTAGTGCACCTGAGTGTATTAAAGTTCTTTTCTAGTGATGTTTTCCGCACTAAGAGTATGTTTTGTCTTGATGCAGTGGATGGCAGAACCCATTTTAGGCAGGTTTGGGGGTCTTGGGGTGCTCCTCATTACACCCTCTACTATACTCACTCACTTGCACCAAAGGGTGGCAGAGGAGGTACAAAACCACTCTGCTTCTGTCAGGGACATTAACAGATAAAATGTCAAGTTGAATTTTTAAAGTGATGAATTAATAGGTAAAAGGGTTATCACCAATGCACCTTTGTGTGCTCACTCCTGCTCCCACCCAAGGGCCCTTGGCTGGAGGGACCCTCAGGCCCAGGAGGGTCATGTCCTTTAACTTAGTCCACCTCTCAGGTTCTCTGCAGTCTCCTTATTGGCTCTGTAAGTCCCTGCTGTGGGGCTGGATCTCAACACTGCATACATTTAACACTGCATAAATTAACATAGGAAATTCCCCTGAGAATCAGGGAGAAGATTTGCAAAGTCATAAAAAATTGCTTCCTTCATTTAAGGAACTGCTAACACTTAATCTTAATGCGGAGCAAGAAATTCCTTGCACTGGTTCATCATTCACATATTCAGGCCTGTGGCGATTCTTCTACAAACAGCTGGGGAAACCACCCAAAGAAGGGAAGGGCAGGGAGCAAGGCCCTCCCTCCTCCCTGGACTCCAAGATGCCAGCCTCTGAGGAAGGAAGCAGGGGACCTCTGCTCGCTTGTGTCAAACATCAGCACAGTCCCTGGAGACCAGGTGTGGCATTTCCATGTGTGAAAATGAACTGAACCGTTCCCCTCCAGTATTTTCGTGAGCCGGCCATCTCGTCAACCAACTTGAATCACAGTGCTGTCAGCTACGGCTGCCTCCTTGAAGACGAAATTACAGCAACCCTGGATTTCTAAACAGTTGTGATAAAGAGAATAAAAATTGGGGTTTTCCCCCTTTTCTTTTAAAAGACGCCACCCAGAGTGCTTGGGCCTGCTCACCGGCATCTCACCAAGGCTGCAGAAGGCCTGATGAAGCCTGCCTGGGAGCAGGGAGGTTGCACCAGCGTGAGTCTTAGGGAGGGAAAACTGAACCGGGAACTTGCCCCGCGGGTGCCTGAGGTTCTACTAGGGAGCAGGAGCAGTAGCGAGTGGTGGAGGATGAAGCTGTGAAGAATAGGGACAGTTCCAGACAGGAAAATAATCAATAAATTCAATTTAGGAGAAGCACAAAGTGAGCTCTGCTCGTGCCGCACGAGCCACCCAACTCCCTGCAAATCCGATTAGCTACTTA